GCCTACCTGACATTACTCACGTCACCGAGCCTGTCATTCTTACTCTGTCTGGCAACCACACCGAGGAAATTTGTTTTTTTGTGTTCAAGGCCACTTGGACACCGCTCATTCTCGGGCAACCCTGGCTTTGTCAACACAACCCGAGCATTAATTGGCTTACGGTACGCATTACGGGGTGGGGGGAGGAGTGCCATATGACCTGCCTTAAGTCTGCCTCACCACCTCACACAGCAGCCTCCCCCGCCGAGTCAACCGCGCCCTCCGATTTGTCCGGAGTACCCCTGTTTACCATGATCTCGCCGAAGTGTTTCGCAAGGATCGGGCCCAGTCGTTGCCTCCGCACCGACCTTATGATTGCGCTATCGACCTGCTCCCGGGCGCGCCATTGCCTACAAGCTGTCTCTACAGCATCTCTCTACTGGAGCGGGAGGCTATGGAGTCATACATCACAGAGTCCCTCGCCGCCGGCTTGATCCGCGCGTCCTCATCGCCCGTAGCAGCAGGATTTTTCTTCGTCGAGAAAAAAGACAAGTCTCTCCGGCCGTGCATAGACTACCGTGGATTAAACAACATAACCATCAAGAACAAATATCCACTCCCACTTCTCACCTCTGCTTTTGAGCTGCTCGAGGGGGCGACCGTTTTCAGCAAATTAGACTTGAGGAATGCATATCACTTGGTTCAGATCCGAGAGGGCGATGAGTGGAAGACCGCTTTCAATACTCACCTTGGACACTTTGAATACTTAGTTATGCCGTTCGGCCTCTCTAATGCTCCTGCAGTTTTTCAAGCACTTGTCAATGATGTTTTGAGGGATTTCATCAACAGGTTCGTCTTCGTCTACCTCGACGACATCCTGATCTTCTCCAAATCTCTATCTGAGCATGAAATCCACGTCAGACAGGTCCTGCAATGCCTGCTGGAGAATCGGTTGTTCGTAAAAGGTGAGAAATGTGACTTCCACATGTCCACAGTTAAGGCAACTGTGGCTAGATCATCGAGCAGGGAGACCTACGCCCTGACCCAGCTAAGGTAAAAGCTGTAATAGATTGGCCTGAACCCCCCAACCGACGGCAGCTGCAGCGGTTCCTCGGCTTCGCTAACTTCTATAGGAGATTCATCCGGGACTATAGCAAGGTAGCCCTGCCTTTAACACAATTAACCTCTCCCAAGGTTCCTTTCCAGTGTAACGATGCTGCCCAATCAGCTGAAAAAGCGATTCGCCTTGGCACCCATTCTGGTCCAGCCCGATCTAACCCTGCAGTTTGTGGTGGAGGTGGACGCATCCGACACCGGAGTAGGAGCGGTCCTCTCACAACAGAGGGATGGTAAGCTTCACCCGTGTGCCTTTTTCTCCCATCGTCTCACCCCCGCAGAACGCAACTACGACGTCGGTGATTGGGAACTTCTTGCCATCAAGCTCACCTTGGAGGAGTGGAGGCACTGGCTGGAGGGCACTGCTCAACCGTTCATCATTTGGACAGACCATAGGAATCTAGCATATCTGCAATCTGCAAAGAGGCTTAACGCCAGACAAGCAAGGTGGGCTCTGTTTTTACGCGATTCGACTTTTCAATCACTTACAGGCCAGGATCTCACAATGTCAAGCCGGACGCCCTGTCCCGACAGTTCTCCACCTCAGAAGACCCGGCGGACCCTGCTCCCATCCTCCCGGCCACCTGTGTGGTGGGGGCCGTCTCCTGGGAAATCGAGTCTGCCATTCGCGAGGCTCAGAGAGCTGAACTGGATCCAGGAGGCGGCCCCGGCGCCTGTTCGTTCCCCAACCTGTCAGGTCTCAGGTATTACAGTGGGCACACACACCCAGGAATACACCGCACCATTACTTTCCTGCAGCGCTACTTTTGGTGGCCCACCCTGAGCGGGGATGCCAAAGAATTCGTCTCCACTTGTACAATCTGCGCTCGAAACAAGACCCCAAACCAGCCACCCTTGGGTTCGCTTCATCCCTTACCCACGCCCACCAGGCCGTGGTCCCATGTTTCTCTGGATTTTGTGACCGGCCTCCCACCATCTGCAGGTAATACGGTCATACTCATGATCGTCGACCGCTTCTCTAAGGCGGCTCACTTTGTTGCTCTGCCCAAGCTGCCTACAGCATTGGAGACTGCTCGCCTACTCACCAACCATGTCTTCTGCCTGCACGGCATTCCAGATGACATCGTGTCTGACCGAGGTCCTCAATTCACATCCCGAGTGTGGAAAGAGTTCTGCAGCTCATTGGGATCTAAGGTCAGTCTGTCCTCTGGATATCATCCACAGAGCAATGGCCAGTCTGAACGGGCGAACCAGGAGTTGGAGGCGGCCCTGCGCTGCGTCGCCTCTTCCAACCAGGCCATCTGGAGCGAGGAACTGCCCTGGATCGAATACGCCCACAACAGCATGACCTCCTCCGCCACGAGCCGGTCACCTTTCGAAGCTTCTCTGGGATTCCAGCCACCTCTTTTTCCCTCCATCGAAGGCGAACACTCTGTACCATCAGTCCAGGCACATCTGCATAGGTGTCGTCGGGTGTGGAAGGCCACCCGGGCTGCGTTGTTACGCACCAAGGACCGTAATAAATGCTTTGCTGACAGCCACCGGTCCTCCGCTCCCGCCTATGCTGTTGGACAGAATGTATGGCTTTCCACATGCTTCGTTCCCGTCTGGGCGGAATCCAAGAAGCTCTCTCCCACCTTTATCGGCCCGTTCGAGATCTCTGCTTTGGTTAACCCTATGTCTGTTAAGCTCAAGCTGCCTCGCAACATGAAAATACACGACGTCTTCCATGTGTCTCAGGTTAAACCACTCCAGTCCAGTCCTCTGTGCCCGCCTTCCAGGCCCCCTCCTCCCCCCCGGCTCGTGGACGGTCTGCCGGCCTACTCTATCACCCGTATCATGGATTCTCGGCGGCGGGGGTGTGGCTTCCAGTACCTGGTGGATTGGGAGGGCTACGGCTTGGAGCAACAGACCTGGGTCCCTCAGGCAGCTCCCGTTGAGGGGGGGGTACTGTCATGGTCCCTGTGCCTCACCAGCTGATCCTGTATTAGGCAACATGTTTTTTCTCTCTTTCTCTCTCTCTCTCATCTGCCGGGGCGGTGCTCATTATGGGCTCCCGCCCCTGGCCCACCCACCTGCTGCCTATCGGGATGATCACAAGGCCGATTTAAGACAGCAGCACTGTGTCACTCTTCGCTGGATCGTTGAGCTATCAGCGTCAGTCGCTCAGTAGTTTGAGAATGGGAATCTGTGAGTTCTTTCCGTCTGTTCGCCTCTAACTAAAGTTTCTGTGTACAGATCTTTCCCGGACCTTTCCCTGCCTGCCTGTCATCCCGTGGACGAGTGAGTGGATTTGTGTTTCCCCAGTGTGGGGAGTGAAAAGAGAGAGCCTTTGGAGTGCGTCTGATTCCCGTCTTTCCCCTCACATACCCCGGAACCCTGGACCCCCCTCCCCTCCCTCCAGCACGTTGTAAATAGCATCACCTGGTGCCGTTGTGTCAATAAACTAATTGTTAACTCTGTAAAGATTCCCGGTCTGCGCCTCAGTCCGTTAACTAAAACGTGACACCTTTGGCACAAGGAATGAGACAAAAACCACAAGTCACCAATATCCCTAGAAATGATGCAACAGACAGCATTACAGACATCACCAACCCTTTCCACTCTCCTAACACAGAGGTCATCCAGCTCTCCAGCGGGTTGTTAATTCCTGAGTGTTCATGCATGGTTTTTGACAGAGTTTTCAGCCCTTCCAGAGCTCGAGTTACTGAGCCATCTGCAGTGTTGTTAGGGATGAAGGTACAGCATAGGTCACCAAACATGGCGCATGCGCCCCCTTTTTCCGCCAGCAACATGTCAAGGGCCATTCGATTTTTCACTCCCATCAGCGAGGTCGGACCCAACTGTTCCGCAAACCCCATCCATGCCGTCTCTGGTTAGGTTAGAGAGTCTCAGCAAATTATAGTGGACATAATTTATACGATCAACATTCTTGTTGGGAGTTACCCATAGGAATATACTTTCAAATCCTGAAGCAACTTGGTCTGCTAGTTTATACTCATTTGGAACTCCCCTGGGCACCCCTATGGAGTCAATCCAGGTGGGTGAATTGAATCTAGGGTCGTAAACATGCGTCCCCTGGTTCCCTCTCTTTGCCAAAATGTGTCTCTTACGTCTGGCAGCTAAAGTGCGTGTGATGATTTCCGATCAGTGTGAGTGGAGCTCCCAACCGTACCATAGCACACGTACCTTCAGTTCCCAGAGGAACCCGGACTAAAAGAGTGCGGTGTCCGCAGTAATAATACAACCCACTTCTAGCCCATGTTCCAATCAGAGTGTTTGGGTCACTTACATTGTTTGTGGTTCTTCCCGTGAGAGTGACACACACGCTTGGATCAATTTCTCCCAATTCGTACTTTGCCTCATCTGTTGAAAACTTAAAACATGTATAGTTGCCTGGTCTTGGCATAAATGGTCCCACTGTTGTCTGCTTTGGGATTGGAGGAAAAAGACCAGACAACAGAGTGCAGTTGCCAGTACTCACTGCACTTTTAGTCAGTCGCAGCATACAGTCGTAGCCCCACTTGTCCTCTGGATACAGTGGTGCAGGCTCTGTAAACAAACGTGGTCTATCAGAAGCACAGGCAACACAATCAGATACATGTTATTCTTTAGCATTTTGAGCCACCCAGTCCATCCATAGATTACTATCACTGAAACCAACGGCACGCTCAATTAGTTCCTGAGGCTTCATCCTAGTGGAATCCACCGTCAGGACTGGTCTCCCTTTTGGTTCTGGCTCCTCTTGGGCTACAGTCAACGACCCGTTCCCCAATTTCCCCTTTGTCTTGGTTACCGAAGTCATTGTTTTGTCAATTGTGTTTGTGACAAAGTTTGCTATGAATGGCTGAGGCTTTGGATTAACTAAGTTTACTCTAATTACCCCAAATGGATCAGTTCCCGACACGTCCACCTCGATTACCAGATAGAACACACCTCCCGGGCTATTGGTTCGGGACAGAGTGTTCAATGGACCTAGGGAAATTGTGACAGGGTTCTGAAAAGCAGAAAAATCCCTCTGAATGGCTATTCCCTTTAAGCCATCTGGCACATATGGCTGCCACCCTTTTCCTGTCCAACTTACCACGTTTTCCCAGGAACACCATTCCCCTGCTGTGTATACTCCCACTGACCAATGGATCCCTGGACTGGAATAAGAACGTGAATGAGCTTGTGGACCATTTAACGTAGTCCAATTCTATGCCACTATATGTGCTGAGGCACCCATCCCTTTTACCTGACACCTCGCGTTTTGATCTTTCTAACGGTCCTGTTTCAATAAAAAGTCTCTCTGGTAGCGCTGGGCTGCAATGGCATCCGTGTTCAGACAAGTCTCGTGGGGCGGTCTGCAACATATAAACAAGAAAACACACAGCCATAACCAATATTATGTATTGTAAGAAGCATTTTTATCAGTTTCCCTTCATCACGTGTCTCATTGCGTGGTCCTGATCCATGTGTGTGCATTGTGTTGTGTGAATTTTGTACTTTAGCATAAAATTTGTTTTTTTGAATCCTGTCTTCTCTGGTTCTCAATTTGTTACCACTCCTTTCCGCTGTCGTGGCGATCTCCTGCGTTGCTCCACTTCTTGCTTCGGCCTTTCAGGTGGACTAGTGGTCGGCCCGTTGCACATGTGAGAGGGTTTATTCTGCCTCTTTTTATTTCCACCTGTGTCGATTGGAGATGGTTTTTCCTCCACCAAGCTGTCGTCTGCTGGGGCGCACTGCGTCCAGTGGAACCAGGTGTCGTCTTTTCCCTTCAGTAGGACTGCTGTAGATGTCCGGGCAGTCACCTCGTATGGACCGGTCCAGCGGGCTCTTTCCACTTGCGTTTAATGACCTTCAGCCACACTGCTTTCACATCTGGGACCCCTCCGTCTGCCGTGGGTCTTCCAGAGGTAACCTGTTTTGAGAAACTGGACACAAGAGCTTTTAATTCATTCAAATATTCTGCGTGAGACCTGTTACTTTTGGTGGTCTGCTCCACCAGGACTTCTGTCCAGGGTGCCGGAAACTGACTCCCTGTTAGCAGCTCGTAGGGCGTGAAACCTGTGGATTGGTTAACAGAACATCTTATGGTCATCAGAGCAATTGGCAGGGCTGTAACCCAATTGAGCCCCGTCTGTGCACAGATTTTAGCCAATTTGTTTTTCAAATTTGGGTTCATTCTTTCTACTTTCTGTGGGCGATTGTGGCTCAAGAGTTGGGAGTTCGCCTTGTAATCGGAAGGTTGCTGGTTCGAGCCCCGGCTTGGGCAGTCTCGGTCGTTGTGTCCTTGGGCAAGATACTTCACCCGTTGCCTACTGGTGGTGGTCAGAGGACCCGGTGGCGCCAGTGTCCGGCAGCCTCGCCTCTGTCAGTGCGCCCCAGGGTGGCTGTGGCTACAATGTAGCTTGCCATCACCAGTGTGTGAATGTGTGTGTGAATGGGTGGATGACTGGATATGTAAAGCGCTTTGGGGTCCTTAGGGACTAGTAAAGTGCTATATAAATACAGGCCATTTACCATTTACTTTCCCTTGAGATTGAGGGTGATACACTGTCCCAAACTTATGTTGGACCCCCAACATCCTTTCCACCTCTGCTAGGTCTTGGTTCTTAAAATGGGTCCCATTGTCTGATCTAATTCTTTTGGGGAACCCATGCCTAGGTATATAGTCATTGATCAAACACTTAATCACACTTTTAGCATCCTCCCTTTTAGTAGCCCATGCTTCTGGCCAGCCAGTCAGAGCATCCACACACACCAACAAGTACCTGACTCCTCCAAGCCCTGCATCAATCATGTCTGTGAAATCAATCACAATCTCTTCCCCTGGCCTCTTGGGCAGGAGGAACTTACCTGCTTCTGGCTTTGCCACTGGCTTTGGATTGTGTGCCCCGCAAATTAGGCACGTTCTGGCTTTCTCCTATCTTTCAAATGAGGGTGCCACCAGTGACACAGATTTCTCTCCATCTGGGTCACTCCCACATGGCCAAGTCCATGCGCCTCATTTATCTTATGTTTCGCCAGTTTATCTGTCAAAACCAGTCACCCATGGGGTCCTCTCCACAGACCCCCTTCTCTCCGGGCTCCTTGGCTCTGCCACACCCCCTTTTCCTCTGGGGCTGCTTCTTCTTAAGCTTGTCTGGCTTCTTCCAACACATTGGTGCTTGGTTCCTCTTCAGCAGTTACCTGCACCATTTGCCTGTGTCCTTTGTAACCTGCTGGTTGTTTTGCGGCTTCATCCGCTTTCCTCTTTCCCTTTGCCACCATTGTGATTTCTTGCGAGTGTCCTTTGCATTTTATGATACTTACCTCGTCTGGGTCGTCCAGAGCCTTTTCCAGTTCCTCCATTTCCTTCTTATGGGGAATGGGAGCATTTGTTGCCGTTCTGAAGCCTGCCCTCTTCCACTGAGCAAGCTCCACGTGAGTTGCCCCAAAAGCATAAGCTGAGTCAGTATAAATGTTCACTCTGAAATTCTCAAAGCTCTAATCAGGGCTATTACTTCTGCTCTCTGGGCTGACTGTTGCCCCTCAACTCTTCCTGCCTGTTTAACCTGATATTGCTTTCCCTTTCTGCAAACCACAGCGTAGCCTGCTTTCAGGCAGCAGCTGTCTTTGAACCAGTCATCAGCTCCAGGAATATGTTCTTCTCTCACTTTTTCTTCAGATTCTGCTTTTTTGGCGCAGTCATGTGGTTCCCCTGACCCCATTAAATCTGCCATATTGATCCCCTCATGTGTAAATGTCAGATTTGGAACATCTAGCACTTTACTCAATCTCTGTTGTGTCAGTGGTGTCATGGTGAATGCTTGTGAGTTGACATACGCCACTACACTGTGTGTGGTGAGTACTTTAAGTGGATGTTCTCTCACTACGTGTGCTGTTTTCTGATTTATTTTAGCTACCCCAGCTGCGTGTTGTGTGCATTTAGGATGCCTTGCTTCTGTTGAGTTTAGTCTTATGCTGACATACATAAGCACATCTCTGCCCCCCCTCCCCCCCCCCTTTTCTTTGAAACAACACACCGTTTACGATTCCGTGTGTTTCAGAAACATCCAGGTAGAATGGTTCATCATAATTTGGTGTTGCCAGGTCTGTGGCTCTTGACAAATCTTATTTCAGTGAAATGAACGCTGTTTCTGTGGCAGGCATCCAAGGCAATTTAGCCTTAAGGTTTCTAACACCCACCTTTTTGATCAGATCCCGTAGGGGAGCCGTGTTCCCTGCATAGTTGGGAATGAACTGTCGACTGTAGCCTGTCAGGCCAAGAAAAGAAAGGAGTTCCTTTACAGTGCCTGGTTTAGGGTGTGTCAGAATTTGGTCTCTGTGTATGTTCATTAAACCCCCTGATCTGTGTGCAATTACACGACCCAGAAATGTTACTTCTGGTTGGACCAACTGCAGTTTTTCTTTACTGACCTTAAAGCCACATTCTGCCAGTCTGTTCAATGCATCAAGCGTTGCTGCGGTGCAGGCTGCTGCTGACGGAGCTGCAATCAATAGGTCATCAACATAATGTATCAGTGTGCATCCCTCAGGCAGTTGACATGGTGACAGGGCCTCTTTCAGCACCTCATTAAAAATGCCTGGAGACAGTGCAAAGCCTTGTGGCAAGCACGTGTATCTGTACTTCCTACCTCTGTATGTGAATGAAAAAATGTCTCTGAGTGACTCATGGAGGGGAAGACAAAAGAATGCGTTTGCTAGATCAATACAGGTGAACCACTTTTGGTCCCATGTGATAGCAGTTAGAGCTGTGTACGGGTTTGGTACACGCACAGTGTCGGTACGCAACATGGCATTAATGGCTCTTAAGTCATGTGCCATTCGGTACTTTCCTGTCCCATGCTTTTCCACTGGCAAAATTGGTGTGTTCCAAAATGATTGAGAGAGCTCAAGCACTCGTACCTTCAGCAGCCCATCAATTGTTTCTGCAATTCCTTCCTCTGCTTCCGGTTTATGTCTGTACTGTGGTCTGTTAATTGGCGCTTCTGTCTTCAGCTGGAACAGCACAGGCGAACAGCTAGCTAGGCCTACATCCATAGGTCCTGTAGACCACAAAGTGTCAGGCAGTTTTGAGAGTTCAGCGACTGCATCAGGATGATCAGTTCTTTCCCTACCATGGGTTCTGGAAATTTCTTGATGTTCTAAAATCACTGCGTTGTTAGACAGACAGGTGATACGGTATGTTTTGCACTTTGGTGCGTACCACACGTTTGGGATTTGGGTGCCTTGCCACCAAGCGTTATCCAGCGCTCGCTTGACCATTGATCCCACTTCCTTCGCCTGATTACCGTCATGAACCGCCAATGTTATGTGCGAGGCCGAATCAGAGCCCATGTTCTAAGCCGGCAATTGTTCATCCATTAATTTGACCGCCGCAGCTATGCCTTCCGGCCCAACATATATATTATGTGAACCCATATTCCAAGTCTGACCTTCAAGCTCAGACTCGAACTGTTCCCAGTATACGTCATCATCTTCTCTATCATAAAACAGAGTGACGTGGTAGGGATCACGAGGCGGGGAATACACAGCGAGACTCATAATCCAGGGTCTCCACAGTTGATATTGTCTCAGAATGCCGTCTTCTATCAGCCACCCCCAGTAAATGTCAGCGGTGGCTGGCTCACAGTCTTGAACCAAATATTGGTTCTTTGAGGTTGCTCCCAGGCACGCAAGCTGTGTTCCTCCTGGTAGAGTCACAGTTAGTCCATCTGCAGAACACATAATAGCAACTCCCAGTTTAATGAGCAGGTTCCTGCCCATCAGATTCACAGGCACTTGTGGAGAGATCAAGTATCTGTGCTTCAAAGTCTGTTTTCCCAGCTTGGTCAGAGCCGGGTGTGAAAGTGGCAGAGTCATTGGAATCCCAGAAAAACCCACCACACTCACCGTGTGGTCAGAGAGTGTTGCACTGCTTGGTGTCATTCTCAGTGTTGAGTGAGTCGCCCCAGTGTCCACTAGAAAGTTCAGTTCAGCACCTTCTACGATCATGGACAACATGGGATCTGCCATCCCAATGCTGTCTGGTTGTCTCTGTGGGCTCCGTCAGTACTGCTCCTCCCAGGTCCAGTCTGCCACGGGATACTGGACGACTGGGGCTGCACTTGGGTTTGGTGCCTGGTGTCCTCCTCTACAGGGAACTCTGCCCCATTGTGGTCCACGTGCCTGGGGTCGGTAACCTCGCTGCTGCGGGCTTTGAAGCGGTTCAGGACATTCCTGAGCCCAGTGTCCTTCACCTCCACCTCCATTTGATTCTTTTGTTTCTTTTTTCTTCACATTGTATTTTTCGCGAGCTTCACTCAACTGTAGCTTCAACAGTTGGGCTTGTGTGTCCTCTAATTCTTTTTTTTGTTTGTTCACCTCATCCTGTTCCAGCGTCAGCCGATGCGCCATGTCTTCAACTGAGAAATCTGGGTTCTTTTCTAAGTCAGTTGTGACCTGGACTGGCAGCCCCTTCAACACTGCTGCGCGAAACCATGCTCTGTGCTCTCCCTCTTGGCCTGGGTGTATGCCTGTTTCTGACATCCATTGTTCTTTTGCTCTTTCTAAAAATTCCCTGGGTGTGTATTTTGGGTCCCAGACTATCTTTGGTACGATATATAACTCTGACTCTGTGCTTCAGCAATCAGTTTGAAAGTGAAAGTAAAGGCTGGCTAATTTTAAATTGACCAGATTCAGATCACTTTCACACATTTTCTGAACACAGTAATCAAATTATAATCCTTAAAAATAAATTCAGCAGTGTTAATTATGGTAGTGAAAATCACTGTGCTGATTTAGTTGCTTAAATTCCATTGTTTTCAGCTGTTTCTACAAGTGTAGGCGACATCACCACCCCCACTTAAAATTATTATCTCATGCTGTTTGGAACGTAATGTCATGTTTGTCATCTTCTCCCATTGTGGGGGATGCTACAAGAGAAAATCCACACAGGAAGAGCATCAGCACAGAAGGGCTTAGCGAACCATCCATTTCACACACCAGAAAAAGTTTTAACAGTTCGACATGTTTAGCCGCATGTTCTCCTTAAATTGCTGGCTGTCTGAGTGGTGTCCCAGAAACGATGTGGGCTTCATAGATAATTGGCAAACCTTCTGGAGGAAACCTGGTCTTGTTAGGAGAGACGGCATCCATCCCACTTTGGATGGAGCAGCTCTCATTTCTAGAAATATGGACAAA